AGATACTCAATTGACTCCTAGCTGAGTCCTAGCTAGGTGTGGACAAAAGGGGATCCTCTCCTAAGTCACATTTTACCAATGATAGTAGTAATAATAACAACTGACACTTATTGAGGGTCTTCTACATAGAGAGCATAATGTTAAATACTTATAGCATATATAATAACCCCAGAACAATCCTAAAGTCAGTACAATTAGTATCCATGTTTTATATATGGAAGGATAAGACATAAAAACTTAGTGTAAGATCACACATCTAGGAAGTAGTGGACTTATGAAGCCACTATGAATTAAGGTTTTAAAAATGAATACTAGAGACAGTAGTGTATCTGCATACTCAGGCTCAGTTCTAAAGTAGACAATCTTCAGTAGTGTGTAGTTCTTTGCATTTTATAAGAAAAAGACTATTTGTTGCAGAGAACACTCTTATTTTGTAATATCCCCACTTATCGACCTTTATTGGTTCCTTTATGAGGACTATGTTGACACTGTTTTGCTCAGCTGTGGCTGTCAACTCACAGATCCTAAAAGAAAAAGAGAAGGAAGTCTTAGCTCTCTCAGGAAGACTACCATTCTGTCTCATGAATTTTTAATTTAATTTTTTATTTAAAAGTTATTTGTGTCTGTATATCAATGTGTGATTCTGTGCATGTGAGTGGAGTGCCCCCAGAGGCCACAAGATGGTGTTGGATCCCCTAAGGCTGGAGTTATAGGTGGTTGTGAACCACCCAATGAGTGCTAAGAATCAGAATCATCCCATGGAAGGGCAGTATGTGTTATTAACTACAGAGCCATCTCTCAGCCCTCATGAAGGTTTTGATGCAGCTTGACAGAATGCTTTGAGTTTCTGAATTCTATCCTGGTTGACTGAGGTGGTTTGGGCTTTTGAATACATGATACTTAGGGGTGCTATTTGGACAAGCATAGAAGGTGTGGGGAAGTATGTCACGGGGGACAGCTATGAAGTTTTGTCTTAGTTACTGCTCTGTTGTTGTGAAGAGTCACCATGACCTGGGTAACTGATATGAGAAAGCATTTGATTGGGACTTGCTTACAGTTTCAGAGGGTGAGTCCATGATCATCCTGGTGGGGAGCATGGTGGCAGGCAGAAGCTATGGTGCTGGAAAAATAGCCAAGAGCTTACACTTGACCTGAAAAATGGAAGCGGGGGGGCATTGTTTTCTTAGGATTACTTCCTGCTGAAAGGGGATGATGAAGACTCCATGGGATCTTGTAGGAAAAAAAATTAGTGACAAAAAGTCTCAAGAGACTAGCTGTAACATTTGTAGCTAGTCTCTGTGTAGCAGGAGATGCTTGACTGAGTTCTTATCCAAAGCTCTGGCCAGGGTGTAATAAGAAGATGCACCATTTCAGCTAGCTGGTCTAGAGTTGTCTAGAGCATTATATTCCCAAACTGGTTTTCTGATGGTGTTTGCTAGTTCAAAGGCATCAAGTTGAATCAAGTGGAATCAATGAAGTGGGGCCCCATCTTCTTTCCTGAGAGTTTAAAGATTGCTCTTAGGAATTATTTTGTTCACTGTGGAGAACTTAAACATTAATATCAGCATAGAAAGTTTAACTTCCATAGGTAAACATACAGGGAAAGGTAACAATAAGGATGAGATTAAGAATGAGGAAAATTAGGATTTTAGAGAAGACAGAATTAAGACAACATAGTCCTAGATTTTGTTTTCTTTTGTCTTATAGCAATGGTCTTTTGATTTGAGACAGAAACTCTGAACTTCATTTTAAAAACACGTATGAATTTGGAGAAGGAGGACCCAGTTCAACTCCAAAGCCAGGTTTGATTTTTATGTGAATTGGAACTATGATTGTGCTGGGAAGTAAGAAGAAAAGAGTTTAGTATAAATATTTTACCATATATCAGATTCTTCTTTGTATGATGGTTCTTTTTGGATAGCTATCCTTGTTTTTTAGACAAATACATGTTTGGTGTCTTTTTGCTTTTTGGAGATTTTTTTTCTGTTTTCCTGTAAAGACAAGAACAAAACAGTCCCACTACCTTTGTGAGGTCTCCATACAATTCGTGGGATATACCTTTTTGGATGACCTATCATTTCTCCTCATCAAGAAGTGTCTCCTGACAACTGTAATTTAATATATTGTACATCCATTACTGGCTATACTTCCTTTCCATTTTTTGTATGTTGTTCCAGGATTTAGTATATGAAACAATAATCCATCATGATGTTCTTTCAAATAATATATTTGGATATTTCACATATAATTTTCTTGTAATAATATATTTCCATTGTGCTCTATACTCTATGGCCATACATTTTTTGTTCCTTAGCTTATTTGCTTATTTGGTCTTAAAACCTTTCTTTCTTCCTCTTTCTTTCTTTCTTTCTTTCTTCCTTCCTTCCTTCCTTCCTTTTCTCCTTTCCTTTTAAAAATTCAGGATGAAATACAGACATTTATGATGATGGATATATTTGTTACCCTCTGCTAACCACCAAATTTTCCTTTCCTTCATCTTGGCTTAAAAAGCTTGTGTATGTTTTGTGTGCTTTTCTAGTATGCAGGGTGGAAAAGACAGTCCTTCAGAAGTTCATTGTATTCACCTTTTCTGACTAAATTCATTATAATAAATGCAATTTCTTAGAAAAAAAGAAGTTTCTCCTGTTTAAAATGGATCTTGATTAACTTTGATGGTATCCAAAGCTTTTCTTTTCCTGTAGAAACAAAGGTGAAGCCCCCTACTCCAATATAACACATATCCTGGTTTCCATACTGAGGTCAATACATCCTTGAAGTACACAACTGATTTAGTTAGATTTTTTTCTATTGTCCAGTGTCTTTCTGTGGCTGTTCAATTTTCTCATAGCATATGAAGCATACAAAGGTATAAAGAAAGCAGTAGTCTCTTATGGCATGCACTTACCATATGTGAGGGAATTAGTAGAGTCATGGGCAAAGAGTAATAGGGTGACCCCTAAGGATTAGGGCCAATTAATATCAGCTGTCCTTGAAAATTTGTCTCAAATCAAATGGAGGGCCTTATGGAGGGAAGAGGCTACAGTTTTTGAACTTCAAGGCTCAAAGAAAGGTTATAAAGCTCCCCAAGATAAAATTCTTGGTGAGGGTCTTTATGCTAATACAGAAACTCAAGCTGCATATGATGAGCACATCTTGTCTCTATGAGATAGGGTTCATGAACCAGGGGAGAGAATTGAACCCTATACCAAGGTGTTAAAGGAATGGAGGTAACATTATACTACATTTTTGCAAAGATTGTCTAGAGCAATACAAATAGTGTATTTTGTACCTAGGTGCATTTTTCTGCTAAATTTTCTTGCTTCTTTTGCAGAAAATTTCAACTAGTGATATGGGATGGTAGGGAGTACATACATTTATTTTTTCAGGGATGGAACAGCTTTGCATTTTCCTTCCCCTCCCAATGCCTCATGGCATAAGGACTTTCTGAAGCCAAATGCTTTTGAACAGAGACTTGTTGAGGAACATGTGGCTGTTGTAGTGTTGTCACTTACTGAGGATATGGTAGACAAGCCTTTGTTCTATGGGGTTATTTAGCCACATCAATGTTTTCTTTGGTGCCTTCAGACATTACAAGAGGAAATGGCGCTCAATTGAATTCATTCATTCACTGGATAGAGAGATATTAACTGAGCACCTATGAGCTGAGCACTGCTTTGTGGATCTTATAGTGTTCTTAACAAGTGAATACTGGAAAAATGAGTGTGTAAGTGAGGACTGCCACCTCAGTAGGGTGCTGTGGAATATTCCTTTACACTGTGTGAAAATGTGTCACCGAGACTGGTTTACTAAAGACTCAAACGGCAGGAAGAGATTGGGTGGGTAGAGATGCCAGGGGCCATGGAGAGGAAACAGGAGGCACGAGATGAAAGAGAGGTAAGAAGGCATGAGACAAAACATAGGTTAATGTAAATGGGTTAATTGAAGTTATAAGCGCTAGAGGGGCAAGTCTAAGCTATAGGCTGAGTTTTCATAATTAATAAGAAGTCTCTGTGGGTGTGTGTGTGTGTGTGTGTGTGTGTGTGTGTGTGTGTGTGTGTGTCTGAGCTGATAGCCCACAGAAAAATCTGTCTACAGTAGGGAGGCTAGGTGAGTTGGGAGAATAAGGCCTTGCAAGGTTTGCCAAGCAGCACAGAAAACAAATCATAGCTCGCTGGCTGCTTCCTCCTCTCCTTCTCCTCTCACCTCTCTCTGATCTCAGTGCTAATGACCACAGGAAAAAATGTGTAACTTTTTACTCTAGTTTACTTTCCCTGTCACATATCTTCAGAAGCATAGTGCCCGGCCTAGCATGGATGCTTGTGATACAATAGTAGTCCCACCCTAAGAGTCAGTCTGGGGAAAGCAAAACCCAGAAATAGGATTGAGGCCATTAGTCAGTTTTCTGGTGCTATCTGAAATACCCGAGGTTGGATACTGTACACGGAAAAGCAATTTCTTCTGTCCTTACCTCTGGAAGCTAGTTACCAGCGGCAATGAAGCCTCGTGGCATCAGGAATGGCAGTAATGTGAAGAAAAGATCACATGGTAGAGAAGAATGGAGAATGAGTAGGTTTATCTCAGGCCCACACATGGATCCATTTTTCCTTGATCCTATGCCACCCAGAAAATTCTTTCAGACTTCCTACCTACCCTAGTATTGTTATCTTCCTTCTCAGGTCTTTGATGAAGTTGAAGATTAGACTCACAATTATTGTTCTCTCTTCCTAGATAGAAATATTAGGTACAAGACTTAAATTTTCTATCTTAGGACAACTCTATAGCAATCTCTGTGGTACCTTTACTCTAGGACTGGATATGTAGTTCTTGCCATTTGCTCTTGTTGCTTCACTGACAATATGTCTTAAGTGCATATGTTATTACATTTCCTTCTCCTAGAGCACACTTGATATTTGCTATCTTTGTATATAGTTTTGTATCAGGCCTAAATCTTTTTCTTTAGACTAAATGGGGAATTGTAGTGAGATATCCACCCAGCCGCACCTGTAGCGCTGACCATGCTCGTTTGGGTGTAGGTCTGGGATTGGGACAGGTAGTCGTGCTCTCTGACTTCCAGTAGGGTCACCTAGAACAGCCTGGTGTGGATTCTTGGAGCAGGAACTTGCGGCAGCCATCTGCTTCTTGTGTAAGCGACTTCTCCCTGAATAAAATTATATTAACCTATATTGAGCCAAGTCCTGTGAATATTGATCCATGCATCCATAAGTGGGTAGGTTAGTTTCAAATTAGGTGATTCATAACTAGAAATTCCTATACTGTGCCACCTATTACATTAGTATCCTTATAGAGTGATTGCTTCGTGGTTTTTTTTCTGTTTTCTTTTTACTCCTTATGCATTTAGATAGCATAATAAAATCAAATGAATTTTTGCAAATATAAGGAATCAGGACATCATTTGAATGCAGCAAGCTACATAGAAACATATTTTTGCCCTTTATCTTTACGTTGTAATCTCCACTGTCTAGAGAGCACACGACAAATTAAATGAATAGGTGCAAGACATTGAGACATCAGCAACTAGGAAACTACACAGTGTTATGTCATTGAGAGAGGCAGCAAAGAAATGGAAAACTAACATTTGAAAAATTTAACAAGAGGGTCTGGAAAGATGGCTCTGCCAATAAAACACAAGGACCTAAGTTCCATCACCAGCACCCACATAAAAACCAAGTGCCCCCTAATTAGTTACCAAATCCCAAGTCGCCAGCCCTATAAGTGTATATGGGCAACACTTAATGGACTCAGCAAGCTGTAGTTATTTGTTTATTCATATGGATGTATGTATGCAGAGATGAAAAATATATAAATGTATATATTTAAGTATATAGGTATATTTATATAAATTTATATGTGAACAAATATTTAAATATATACATATGTTTATTAAATATATGAATATGAATAGATAAACATAATAGGCCATGAATTCGATATTTGAGAGGAGTGAGGGATGTGGGAGGAGTTAGAGGGACATGAAGGAGAGGCTAGCTTTGTAAACAGCAGTACAAATAAATTAAATTTAAAAAAATAATAATACCTATGGTCCTAACCCTAAAGAAGCTCCTTGGAGCTTGCTGATCAACCAGTCTAGACAATTGGTGAACTTCAGGTTCCATAGAAAACAAGTTGAAGTGATTGAGGGAGAAATTAACATCGTCTTCTTTCTTTATTTTCTTTTTGAAAAAAAAAACATTTTATTTGGAGTAGGCAAGTGGGCTCTCTAGCATGTATATGAAAGTCAAAGGAAAACTCATAGTAGTTCTTTCCTTTTATCATCTGGGTCTAGAACTCTAACTCAAGTCATCAGAGTGGCAGCAGCGGCATTTACTTACTAGGCCATCATATGGGCCCTAAAGTTACATTCTATTCTCATAATTTGATAAGTTTTCCAGATACCCCCTAAATAAACACAAAACAACACTATACTGAAACTAAATGGACGTAAGAGTATTTATAAAACATCTCATCCTACATCTACAGAAAACAACCTCTTTTATTGGCACATGGCATTGCCTTCTAACACACATATATGTATATGCACAACTGTACACATGCGTTCACACATATGTCACTCACAAACACAAATACACACACAAATGTCAAGGAACAGATAAGTATTTTTAAAATGAGTCTTACTTGTAAATATATAAGCTTTACAAGACAAATATCTGGCTTAGGTGAAATACATCATTAAACCGAGTGTAACTGTCACACATTAGGGTCTTCAGTAAATTTGTGTTGAATGACTAAATGATTGAAAATGAACACACTTCATTCTTAGAAGCTGTGCTTGGTACAGAATGTTCAAAACAGGCTTTGTCTATATACTCCATCTATGTGCCAGAGTGGAAGGAGGTCAGGGGACCCAGATTCTCCTTAGCAGACTTGTGTCAGCATAGCTCCTTGGTGACGTATTTGCTGCTGAGCTTTATCTTCCATAGTCTTTCTCTTAAAAAGTCGTTCTAAAGGTAGCAAGGGTTAGGCCTGGAGTGGAACAATTGCCAATTTAGATTTGCACCAGATATTTTAAACACCGTACCAAGTATACTTACTTACTGCTTGGACAAATAAGCAAACCATTTCCTGTGAACTAAATCCTGTTAGAAAATGGGAAATTAGTGAATGGGTTGCAGAGGGTGAATGTATAATATGTCCCTCAGTTGAGACAGGTTTAGCCATCCTGAATGGACGAATTATGTACCTATTATAGGAAAGCGCTAAAAAGATCAATATTAATAGTTGAAATTATTAAAGTCTATAATTATTTCAATAGGTCCTGAGATTATAAAATTTAATGACATTACTTATAAAACCTCATGAAAATATTAGAAAATAGGAATCACCTTAGAAAGATAAAAATGATTATAAACTATAACAAACATTACAACAAAGAGCAAATCAGGGGCATAACAGAAAATCATGGAGAAGTTAGAGAACACTTTATCAATGCTCTAAACTTGCATGTCCAAGACTGAAATGTAGAAAATACTTAGGATGGTCAGATGCTGGAAAGACAAGGCAAAATAGCTACTGATGCCTATATAATTATATTGAGAAAACTCAAGAAATTTCACTTTTAAATTAATGAGATGTGAACAAAGAAGATGAGCTATAAATATCCAGCAATCAACGGTTTTCTACATGTATAATAGGCAATACAAATATATCTTGCAAATGATATTAACGGAAAGCATAATATACAAAGGAATGAGCCTAGGAAAGTATATGTGGAATTCACACAAGGACAATTGTTCAAAATTTTACTCAATAATATATTCTAAGATTTAAATGGGTGGAAATATGACACATGGCTGGAAAAGAAAAGTGGCAATTATAGACTTAAAGTATCCCCTCAATAATTTTAGGTGACACACAATTACAGTGGACTTTTTTTTAACCCAAAACGTAATTTTGAAATCAATCTAGAACATATTAACAGATTAAAACAACAATAAAGTAATAAACATGTTGCTTTGGTCTATCATAAAGACAGGCTAGATACATCAGACTGCGGTTAGATAGAGTTGACACAAATCCACAAAAATGTTAGCTCTAATGTAGAACTTCCCTGTGATAAAGGGGACAGTACAAAACCAACGAGAGACAAAGAGCTGTGTAACAAGTTGTTTGAAACAAATTTGAAAACTATTTGTTTTTTTAAAATGTGGTATATTTTAATTCTAGCAACATAGTGCTTGTGTTTAAAAGGGGAAAAGTGCGTTACAAATCAGCAAGAACAAGACCTCCTTCTGCAGAAAAGTTAGACTCACTCTATTTCTTTTCCTCTTAATATCTCATTTAGCTAAACCATTGCGGTAAACATACAGACACACAAATACATAGAAACATGTTTTGTCTCATGAGTAATGAAACTGCATACATATGTGTATATGTCTCTCTGTGTGTTTAAGATCCTGGTCTACATTGTGAGTAAACCAAAACATACAAGAAACCACAATGTTATGCATGCTTTAACATATCAGTTTGATATCTTTTTTAAGATAAAATGCTAAAAAGAATTGAAGAAAATACTACTGGAAGCAAAAGCGTTAGCAATAGTGATTCTCAACCTATGGGTTATGGCCCCTTTGGGGGTCAAATGACTCTTTCACAGGGGTTACCCAAGACCATCAGAAAACACAAATATTTACATTGTGGTTTATAACAGTAGAAAAATTACAGTTATGAAGTAGCAACAAAAGTAGTTTTATGGTTGGGGATCAACACAACATGAGAAACAATATTAAAGTGTCACAGTATTAGGAAGTTTTCAAACCACTGGTTTATGATATTTCTGTCTTGAGTTGACAATGTCTGCTTTAAGAGAATGTCTTTTAATTCAAAACTTTTATACTGTGAGAAATCTTGCTTTTAAAAGTGAAGACAGCTGTTTGGTGGTGGCACACACCTTTAATTCCAGCACTGGGGAGGCACAGGCAGGCAGATCTCTGAGTTCAAGGCCATCCTGGTCTATAGAGAGAATTCCAGGACATTCCAGGACAGCTAGGACTGTACAAAGAAACCCTGTCTCAAATAAAAAAAATGGAAGGATATGGGCAAGCTTTTATCTGCAATATAATTAAGAACTAATCATAATAAAGAAAAGCTGGAAATGATCGAAACAACACCAATAAGAAATAGCTGAATATATCCGGATAGATCAAAATGACAAAATTTAATGCAACCATTTTTAAATGCACTTTCAAAACATATTCATTTCTTATAGTATTAAAAGAGACTCATAATCCACTAATATATAGTCTTCTCTCTAAAAACATGGGAGAGTGGGAGCTCACCCCAAAGGTTGGAGGAAGAAATAGGGAAGGTGATGTAACTCTATTTCAATGAAAATGTATTTTTAAGACTATAAAGTGCTTGTAATATATGATTATAGTGCTCTGGAAGGCAGGATGAAGACTGGACTCCGCAGAAAGGGTTTTTTAAGCTGCTCCCGAGTTTTGGTGAGAACAATGGCATTCAGGGAGGCCATAGACAAGAACGAAATTTCAGGCAAAACTTTCCAATGTGAGTCTGAGGTCACCAGCCAGTGAGGAAAGGCCACTCCAGCTGTGCGTCCAGCCTTGACTGGGCCATGGCATTTAGAGAGCCCAGAGGAGAGGTTGCTGGATTATGAAATCCAGCTGCCTGCACAGAAGCTCCAAGACCAAAGCTCTCCAGTCCGTCCATGGAATTCAGAAGCCTGAGGCAAAGTTTCCGCAGGTGAGAATCCCTTAGTCACACTCTTAAAAATACTGGGAAGTCTTCGGGTAATCATGATATTCAAATATCTGGAGATAATCTGGCCATGTGTTATAGTGCCAAGGTCAGTAATGTGGATGCCAAGGAAGCTTGACTAAGAGGAAGACAAGCTCACTGGAGGACGGGCTTTTAGGGCTGGTCTAGGGGCTTCACATTGTAGCCTGAGGGGAAAAGTACGGTTTTCTTTAAAAGACCACAGAATTGACCTAGAACGTTAGATTTTGTCCAGAGTCAGCTCTCTGATGGCTCAGAAGTCAAAAATTAGGGGTACAGAAAGACTGGTAAATAAATGGATAGATTTATAGAGACAGAGACATAAAAGTGATGTAACTAGAAACTTAGATTAAAAATAAGCAAGGATATCTGTGTTAAAGAAGCCTTAAAAGTCGTTGAGGATGGACGTCTCACTAATGCAATCCACTTCTGGCCCTGGGTAGAAACATGGTGTTCTGATCTCTCCAAGGATTAGAACATTACACGCTACTGTCTCCTCCCTTAAGAGGTCATTCAAGTAGGCCTGTCAATCACCTAGCCAAAAGACTACCCCTGAGGAAGGTTGGTTCACCTAAAGCCATGCTGAAGGTAGGAGAGCAATGATTATTCCCTTAACTCAGTAATGTACTTTCCTCTCCCAGAAACCCCAGCTTAAGTGCTGCTGTCCCACAGCTTTGTTAAGCATGGTCGCCTTTCAGCCCCAGCTCAGAAGAGCCTGTCCTCTCCTTTTCTGTCTCTTGGTTGCAAACCTGGGCTCCTTTTCTCTTGCACTGTGGGCTTTTCTCATTTGTCTGATGCTAGCGCTGATGGACGCTGATGGACACTGTTGAATGTGCTAGCCTAACTCAAAAGCCATGGCTTCCCCTCTCCTCTTCCCCATATCCCTCCTCCTAGCTACTGCTAAGATTTACAGCCTGCCTCCAACTCTACCAAACCTGTTCCGGAACCTTCTTCTGAGACTGTTTTTAAAACTTGTCAACAAAACAAACTACCCAGAAAGGGACCCCAATTTCCCTGGCAACATATGGCATTAAAAGTAGGGCTCACTATAACTTCTGGAAACATTTGCCCTTCTTTAAAATCTTTTCTACAAGTTCAAAATTATCAGCCCCCCACAAAAATGTATTTAAAAGATGTACCAAAAACAATTGTAATTTGCAGGCTACTCAAATTAAAATCACTTTTTCGTGGGATCCTATTCAACTAGTAGATAATAAAAATGATCATAGTTCATTCCGAATTTTTTGTAGAATAATCTTTTTGTACACTGTGAAGATGTGTTGTTAGTATTCAGGCATCTGTACCAGCCTTCCCGCGGGGGTCTTGACAAGATACGCCCTCAGCTGCTGCCACTAAGAGTACCACCTGTGCTTATTCACTATGTTCCCTTTTTAAAAGGGCCCTGCCAACCTCCCATCCTCCCTCCCTCCCTCCCTCCCTCCCTCTCTCTCTCTCTCTCTCTCTCTCTCTCTCTCTCCCTCTCTCTGTCTGTCTCCCCTCTCCCTCTCTTTTCTCTTTCTCTCCCTCTTTCCTCTCTCCTCTCTCCCACTGCTTCTGCCTTTGTTACCCCCTTTCCCTTTTCCCCTTTTTATGATCCCTTTCCCTAATAAGACACCCCTGTTTGAACCCTGCCATATGGTGTCTTTCTCTAGTGTGCTGCTTTTCCTAAATTACAACATGTGTCACTCTGGTCTAATGAAAAGCTGAATGCCCAGTAGCTTGGCAGGATTTCCAGGCACAGAGAAGCCTAGGAAGAAGGTGGGGTTGCCAACTGAACACAGGGAGTATGCAAGACATGCAGGAGGAAAGGTAAAAGCCACAAGCCACATGGCAGCACATAAATGAATATAAGTGGGCTAATTTAAGTTATAAGAGCTAGTTAGAAACAAGCCCGAGGTATCAGCCAAGCTTTCATAATTAATAATAAGTCCCAATGTGGCTATTTGGGAGCTGGCAGGAGGGACAGAGGAAGATTCACATCAGGAGCTAGACCTCTCTTTTCTAGGCACTGGTGATTTATTAAGGGTTTCTACCTTCAATGTGGTTACATTCCAATTAGTTAACATAAAATTCAAATTATCGGAGCCCAAAGTTCATGAAAGCCACATCTTAGTATATGCCCCCTAAGGAACAGTTTATACACATCAATGCACTGTTTTTCGAATATGGGTTTCCACTTGGTTATAATAGTTTAGTGTGACAAAATGCTTCTTCATTTTTAATTAAAATAGTGAAGAAAAGCAAGTGAAGATGTAGAATCATGACACAGGAAAGAAACGACCATCATTTCACAAAGTTTGTTCCCAGGCCCTGTAGCCCAGGGCACACTGTTTATTTGGAAAGGGGTTGCTAGAAAGTATGTGTTCCAAGAAAGCATGTATACAAAATGCCCCATGAATCCAGTTCTTCTTCAACCTCGAATACAGCCATTTTCCCTTGGCACAAACAGTAAAATATGAAATACTTAGGAGGAACAGTCTTTTTGGAACATGACTCAGTGAATACCCCTGCTATAATGCCTCCTCCTTTTCCTACTGGGCGAAGCTGGGAATAGCAGTCTCCACAGATGGCCCATGTCTCCAGCAAAAGGCATTACAGAACTCAGTGCTCTCTGTTCTGGTACCCCACAGCAGAGGGAGGGTGGATAGGGTCGTTTGAATGTAATTGGCCCCCATAATCCCAAAGGGAGTGGCACTATTAGGAGGTGTGGCCTTGTCGAAGTAGGTGTAGCCTTGTTGGAGGAAGTGTGTAAGTATGGGGAGAGGATTTGAGGTCTCTTTGCTCAAGCTGCCTTCCCTCGGTGTGACACTCAGTCCACTTCCTGTTGCCTCCTGATCAAGATGTAGCCAGCATCATGTCTGCCTGTGCACTGCCATACTCCCCATCATGATGATGATGAGCTGAACCTCTGAACTGTTAGCCTCCACCTCAACAAAATGTTTTCCTTTATAAGAGTTGCCAAGATCATGGCATCTTTTCACAGTGAGAGAAACCCTAACTAAGACAGTAGCACACAGAAACTCCTGAGACCAAATAGCTCCATTTGCTAAGAAACATTTTTGGGGCTTATTTTGGTTTGTGGGGTACTTTGTTTTTGGTTCTGGTTTTCCTGTAGCCAAGGCTAGTGTGGAACCAGCCAATTCAGACCTTGAACTCCTGATCCAGCCTCAGCCTTCAGAGTATTAGGATTGCAATTGCAGGCATATGCCACTGTGCCCAGCTACTGAGATGCAGAAACAGGTACTTAGGGCATAAGACAGACTTCTTTTCAGGTCAAAATGCTGGCTGTGTGATTCAGGCTCCTCATGCCCAATCAAAACCACATCTAACTCATGTGTGACTCAGATGAGAGATTCCAGTTGTCATAAATCAAAATGAAACAGGATAGGGTGAATAAACCCACATGAGACAAACTGAATCCTCCTGGGCACTTGGGGAACCCAAGAGCCTGCTGAGCTGAACAGTGTAGACATGTTCCTGTGGTTAACTTGCATGCTAGCACAGAAGTTCTCGGTCACCAAAAAGAGAAATCCAAAGGCTATTTCAGAATCAATGATCCCTGCGTCTTTGAGGGCAGTTGCAGGAAAGTCATAACTGGATACATAGAGAGGTACTCTCCAAGCAAAAGATGCTCAGCATCTATCTCTGTTTCAGAGCAAAAAGAGCGGCTCATGGGGAACTAAAAATGGGATTACTCACATAAAAATCATCCTTACTAAAGTGATCCCATCCCTGACTCAAGTCTCAGATGTACCACCTGTGATCTCCACACTGGAATCTGCTCACTAGAGAGCAGAGCTACATATCCCAGCTGAACACAGATGTTCCCACAGCATTGAAAGCCAAGCTTTCACTTCAGGCTGAACCACTCACAGGCATTCTGGGCAGTTGTGCTGAAGATACGCTCCATCCAGGACAGGCTGTATACCACATGCCAAAGATAAATAAGAAGGAATGATTGTCTCCAAGGCCTCATGGTGAACCCCACAACCTCATAATGACCCCCACCACCTCAGAGTGACTCCACATGACCTCATAGTGACTTCCCCCAGGTCAGTCTTTGCTAGATTTCAACATGTCACACAGTCCCCAACCCCCCCCCAAGAGCACCTTATGCATCAATGGCACAGAAGCCACCTCAGGCACAGAGTCTGGCTCTGCAAGGGACCGAGGGAAGAACCCTCCAAAAAATGTCTCGTTCTGTCCTCCAAAGCGGGGACTTGTGCAGTGTGTTTTTAAATTGGAAAACTCCTTCTCAATAAAGTCATCCAGAAAAGTCCTCCCCATTCATTTGGTAGCTGGGATTGTATACTTCCTGTCCACTGTGAAATATCAACATTTGGGAAATGTGTTTTCCTCCAACAGGCAATGAATGACCTAGAAGCACACAGGCTTCCTCCTCCATTAAATTCCAGTTGTGGGCTCAGCTTATCAAACACTGCAGCATCCTTGAGCTGAGTTTCCCGAGAATGCTGAGGAGAGACAGTTTACACTGCTTTCAGAGGGAGTGAGCATTTCACAGAACAGTGTCACAGCAGTCAGAAGCCAAGCCTGAAGGTTAGCTCAATGGTAAGGACATTTACCCGGTAACCTGATTTCCATCCCAGAGACCCACATGGTAAAAGGAGAGACTAATTTCCACAGACTGTTGTTTGGCCTACACACACACACACACACACACACACACACACACACACACACACACACACACACCTATTCACCCAAGAAAGACAACCTGAAACAGACTAACAATTGCACCAAAGTCCACCTTGGTGAACCACGGAGATTTCATCCGCATTGCTAACAAGAGTATAGGTGAGGGGTTCCTTACAGAGGCAGGGATAAAGCAGCAGAAGCAGCTGCATCACTGAAGGGCCCATCCCCCTACCCGAGATGACTCATGGAAACTGCAACCCTGGAGGCCTCTGCAGGACTCACAGACAGCTTGACAGCTCTAAGAACTCTCTGTGCAGCTGGAATGGTTTGAGTCTCCTTCCGCATCCATTGCTTCTATGAAGCTGGGCCTTCAAGCATTGTACATATTTTGTCTTTCTCAGCCATATGATACTTATTTCCTAAATGCCATGAGTCCCCCCCACCTCCTCCTGCTGAATAGAAAGCTTCAAATTGGATAAAACTTTAACACAAGGTTGCATCTTTGGTCCTTCCCTCTTTCAAACAGGTACTATCTCTCCTTCAAAGTAAAATGGCCTAAAAAACTGAAGATATGTGTTTACAAATGATTTTTAAAACATCTCCACTTCAAAGGGCTTTCAGTGAGGTGAGAAGACATTAAACTTTGCTATAGACAAAAATATCATCATTCAAGTAAATCTTTTTATCATAAATTTATCACACATAGGAGCAGGTCTTCAGATTGAAGTAACACTCTACCTTCAACTTCTGAGGGCCCCTTAAGCCATATTAATAAAGGGACTTCCCAGGTCATGCTTCCCAACTCTGTGACCCTGGTACAGAAGGCCCTCAGATATTCATGACTTCTGTCCTTGACCTATTGGGCAGCAATCCAAATGATGTGTCACAATCTCTTGTGAATCCAGAGGCTCCTGTGGTAGTTATGTATTCCCTCTAGGTGTGAAACAGGCCGGGCCCCAGCTTGACAGTGGGTGTACATGATCACCTATATCTAAATGATGTCACTGTCATCTTGTGCTTCTGCCAATGCATCAAATAATCAGTGAAAATACAAGATTAGAAAGGAAGAACTAATAAAATAAATTTCATATACAATGCTCAATTTACATATATACAACCTGCCCTAGGAATCCCACTGTAAGTACTCTTGACTTAGAAGTATCAGCTCCTATGTGCTCTGTGAATGCCAAACTAGGGTCTTGTACATGAGGGCATTTCATTCAATCTCCTGGTTATCAAATATTTCTTAAAGTGACCAAATGAGTCAGAAATATTTTATTTCGCATTGTGTCCTCCCCCAAAAGGGCTACAACTACCTAAGTGCCAATGATCTTTTATTATGAACTCCAGTACAGCACTGATTGTGGCAAATGCTTGCTCACTGTTTTCATCCCAGCTGCCTTTCTCTCCGGAGATTTTGTTTGAGTCCCTTTCCATTGTTGCACTCATTTCCTGTGGTTAAGGGTGGGATGAGGCATAAGCTCTACACTAAAGTCAATCAGTGTTTCCAAAACTGTTGGTCATGACAACTAATTCACCAATAAAATACTCATGAAAGAAACTTGTCCCTCTGCGCTGGAACAAAAGACCTGAGGGTAGGATTTGCAGGAGCTTGGCCATCATATGGAGCAAGTCTGAAGTTACTTGAGAGCCCACTGAAGGGTTCTTAAATAAAGGCAACACAGTGAAAAGTAAGGACAAGACGTGGAGGCTCACTGAGATCTGATCACGTGAGCTCTGAGTCCTGACCAGGACGTTTTAGCTGAATGGATCAATAAGTTGTTATTTGTATTAAATGAGCCTGATCTAGTTTTTAACTCTCATTCTAGTGAGAAAGATACGTAATAGATATTAGCTATGTGATCAGCTCCTGTGATCTCCAACTCTCCCTCTTGTATAATACGGCTATGTCTAGTCAGTTTCAATTCCCTTTTTAACTCAGGATACTGCATCTATGACAGTGGGGGGAGGGAGGACATCTGGAAACATGTGGGAGATTTCTTGTCACAATGGCTGGAAGGAGCACCCACCCATGACATTGAATGGACAAGGCACAGATGTTAGGCAGTATGACTATTCGGGACAATAAGGAACAGTCCCACCCACAATGCCAGTAGTGACGCCCTTAAGAAGCCCTCAGAGTGTGACGATTGCTACCAAAGTCCAGCCTAGAACAGGTGTCAGGTGGCAGTTAGTGTCTTCTTGCTAGAAAGGTGTAAAGGAAGTTCACAAATCTAGGGAAAATATATATAACAGAAGACAATTGAGTCCCGAAGTGTTACTGACCACCATTGGCCGTTCACAGAGCATTTCTGCTTCTTCGCAGCTCTTACGTCACCGTTCTCCTCTAAGACCACAAGCTTGTGGTTTGGTTTCTTTCATGACATTTGTCATCAGAACTTCTCTAAGAGCAGTCAAGCATTGCCAGGCTTCTGTTCCTTATAACTATGGCTCCTTAAGAAGACCCTGGAGCATTCCCTGGCTACCCGTCTCCCAGAGAGTCCCTCTTCTGGCCCCTCCTCTCCAGCTCCTTTCTGAGAATGTCTACCATTAACCATTTTTTAATCCAAACTTAAAATAGGAAAGTGTGACTTCTTTGTTAACTTTCCTACAAATTGCAGGTTTTGTACTCTCCTTAGATAAGTTTAAAGTATGTTTTGGCAGAATTTTCCGGCTACGGTCTATCTACTCTTTGTAGTAGCTTAGATATGCTGTTTATTGAGTCTTCGGCAACGTGTCTTCAAACATCTGCCAAGCTTCAGTGACCTGACCTGAAAGATCTGTGAGTCATTAGACATAGAATATCTGGTGTATCAGTTCCGGTCTTGTGAAAAGCACACTAAGACAAATCAGATGTAGAAGAGAAAACATCCATGAACCGTTAAGGATACAGGGCGTAGGAGTTGTCAGAGGAGGCTTCAGACAATGAAGTGGAGCTGACCCCTACATCAGGGGAGGAAGAAGGAAGACTAAGGGGGAAGAGTCAGTATACAACCAACAGGAAATGGCCTCAGCTTGGCCCTGTGAGAGTCCCACAGCAAATATCGCCCCCTAGAGGAAGGAAATGGCTCATCTACTGCTGACCCTAGGTCTAGTTAATGTAGCAGCTTTCGACCCACCAACCATCTTCCTCAAGCTGCATCCTGTTGTTTCTTGAGATGTAAAGGAAAAGTATCCTTGCTCTAGGGGGAAGATTAACTAATTCCCTTGCTAGACCACTTACAACAAACTCAGACACTCCCTTTACTAAAAATGGAAAGGTAGCAGTTATAATAACCAGTGTAAAATGTCTTTCCGCATGATCTGATTTTATTTTTAGCACAACCCTGCTGAGAAGGTCTTGTTAGGCTGAGATGTGGCTTAGTAGTCTGCATTTAGACAGTATGTGTGAACACCTAGGTCCAATCCCTGACTGTGGGGGTGAAAGGAGCTTTCTATCATTTGTCTTCTTGGATGGATAAGGCTACTAAGACAAAGAAAGTAATTTACTTAAATTGATCAAGTTATTAAATAACTAAGCTGAGACTTAGCTCAAGTCATTCTAACTCCAAATTCTATAGTCTTAATCATATTCCCATAATTCTCTATTTCCAAATTGGTGTATTCAAGGTAAGCCCAGATTTTGTGAAGACTAAATTCTCTAGAGTCAGAAGTGTGAGGTAAAAATAGATTATGAGATGCATTCTGTAAGAAAATAGAAAATTATGAAAACAGAATCAACACAAGACCTCAAAGATATGCATGCAAGTGGGGGAGGCTAGGGCTCACATTCATTAGCCTCGGTGTGTTCACTTTTGATTGTGGTGATTATTGCCAATGCTGTTGCTAAGAAGGATAAGTATCCCCAAAATTGAAAATGTTCATTCTACCAAAAGCAATCAACAGATTCGCAATCTCTATCAAAATTTCAATACAATTCTTCATAGAAATTGAAAAAAACCCTTAAACTTCATATGGAAACACACACACACACACAAAGAGGACAGGGAGATTAAAATAAGTGCTGGAAGTTATCACCTTTCCTGACTTTAAACTGTACTATAGAGCTATAGTAATAAAAACAGTATGGTATTGTCATAAAAAATATATTTTTCAATGAAATAGAATTGAAGACCCTGGAATAAGTCCACACACCTTTGGACACCTGGTGTTTGACAATGAAGTAAAAAAATATATGCTGGACAAAAGACAGAATCTTCAACACATGATTCTGGTTTAACTGGATAGTTGCATGTAGAAGAATGAAAATTGAACCATGTCTCTTACCCTGAATAAAACACAGCTCCGGGTGTCTAACAGAACTGATAGAAGAGGAAATAGAGACTATGCTTGATCTTGTAATATTTTAAATACATTTATTCCTTCGTGGAATACATTTATTCCATTCATAGTTATCCTGGGGTATATCAGCCCATGAGTCACATGATAAACATGCCTGTGGGAAACAGAGGGTGGTAACATTTGCTACATATAGTATTTAGAAATATAAAATGACTAAAGTCTTCAGGAAAAACGGTCAAGGAATTCTGGGGCAAGCACAGTGCTCTTCTGGGATGAGGGGTGTTGAAAGATGTGTGGGTCTGAAGATAAAAATTTAGGAGGCAGTTTATGACTATGTCCATTTAAAGAATAATAGATGAGCTTTTAAAAGTTAGCAGGACGGTGCAAGCCTTTAATCCCAGTGCTAGGGAGGCAGAGGCAGGCATATCTCTGTGAGTTTGAGGCCAGCCTAGTCTACAGAGCAATCTCCAGGACAGCCAGGACGACACAGAGAAACCCTGTCTCAACCCTCAACCCCCTACACACACACACACACACAAAAAAAGTTAGACTAACTAGGAGTAGAACGTTAAACACACCACAGAGGCACACACATTATACACTCAGAAATACACACACACACACAAAAAAATAGAAAACAAAGCCTCTGATTGCTCTCCTAGATTCTGGGAAACTATGAGCCAGTCTTTTCCTACTTAATATCTGGGCATCTGAAAAGTGTGTGTAACCCTTAAGATCCCCTAGGTTAGAAGACCTCTACCTAGGATAATCAAACAGGCTCCATTGTGGCCGCCTGGCAAGCTTAGAGGACTGGGATTTTTGCCAATAACTCCTTCCCTCACCTGGCAGGTATGGGGAGTCACTTTCCATCAAACCTCAGATTGTTCATGGGTAAAAGGTAAGAAGGAACAATTGTGATCATTGAGTCATGGTTGGATTTCATATGGAAATCATGCCAGTAATGGTCATAGTCACTATTAAAATGATACCTAGGGTGTGATTTGTGGTTTTTTTTTTCAGAGAGGTTTTTTTTTTTTGTAGCTTTGGAGTCTGTCCAGGAACTCTTTCTGTAGACCAGGCTGACCTTGAACTTGCAGAGATCTGCCTGCTTCTGCCTCCTGAGTGTTGGAATTAAAGGCGTGCGCCATCACCATCCTGCTTAGGCTGTGTGTTTTATATGTACCACCTCATGGGCTTCCCACAATGGTACTAGAAGGAAGTGACACTATACATTCTCCATACAGCCATGGAAACTGAGGCTCAGAAAACTCAAATAACTGGACCAAAGATATCAGAGCAAGGGAGCGATGGAATCAGGATTAAATCTGACCGTACATGTTGCTCTTTCAATTAGAAGAATTATATTTCACTTAATGAAGCCAGGGTTCATAATCCTGTACAAATATCTTCACGGTACAAAGTCCTCTGAAAATTCATTAGTGGCCCTCTGGCAGGAAATACCATGAATTGCAGTGAGTTAGCTGCCCTAATAAACTATAATAAATAAATAAATAAATAAATAAATAAATAAATAAATAATGAATAAACTATAATAGTAAACTACTGTTTCTGGTCTGTCAAGAAAAATGACACTTTGCATTTTAAACCTCTCCTCATCTTCTCAAAATATTATTGGTATCAGTTGCTGTACTTTATTCTCATAATAAAATGCTTTATTAGACAGGAAACTGTGCATTCTAGAGGTCAAAGGTCCTGTCCAATGAGTCATAAGTCCCACAGACTCCTTAGCTTACAGAATTATTTTTGTGACTTCAGTTATTTTTGTGTACTTCAGTTATTTTACTTGATGTATTTCAGGTGAAGGAATATGTGTTTGTTGTGATGAAGCAAACAATTCAGCTCTACATCAGAGTTTGTCTTTCCCCCTCTTCTTCCCTTCAGACTCTAGTGAGACCGCAGATCAGTGTATAACTTTCTGCTACAGACTGTAGTGGTTTGAAAGATAGTATCAGAGATAGAATCATGGCGTGCACGGCACGTGCTTCAGTAAATCAAGAAGTATGACATTTATGGTTTAAGGCCTGAGCAAAAGCTATGTGAGCTTCACCTCAGTAGAATCTGCTTCTTTCCCTGTTTCCTCCACATCTGTCCCCAGTGCCTAGCTTTGGCTGCACAGCCGTCAGGGATTCATAGACATTGGCTGAATTTGCTGTCTCCTCATCTTGTCACCCATTTGACATCAGAGGTCCTCATCCTAACGAAGATTAGGTGTGAGTCATACCCACCCTACCACCCTCACCAGCTGCCCACCAGCTTCCTCTAAGGGTGTTCCATAGCCTCTGAGGGTAATGTTATTAGATATTTGCATTCTGAGTGACGTATTGGTGGGCACAGTGTTACCCAGATGTAAATGCAACACAGTTCTCCCACTCGTCTTACCATTCCCCTAATAATGACTGTGTCTCTTGGGCTTCTGTCTTAAAATTGTTTGACCATTGTTAGGCTCGTGTCATGTCAATCTTGACATCATAATGTGAGTGGCGTTCATCTGAGGTTTGCCACTGGGATGAGCTCTGTTGAGTAATTAAAGAACTTATTTTGAATGTGGGGGATGATGGAGCATGGAAAAAAATCATAGAAAAAAGCCAGCAACAATACAAACTCGGTAGGGAAATTTTAGACATCAAACATTTTTTTTTATACAAAATACCAAAGGTCACTAGTCTCCCACATCAAATACACAGACATTTTTTTAAACAAATCCATTTCAGTCTGAGTCTCAACACAGGCCTAAAATATGTGTTTTTGAAAATAAAAAAAAGATTCTAGGATAATTTTAATTTTGTTGTTTTCCAAAAATGAAGGAGGAGAAACTGTTTGAGATTTAGTTGTGGGGAATTGTGAACAGCATTTCAACCTTGCCCAAGAGGCTGACAGTTAAATACTGATGTTGAAGTCTACATTTTCAGAATTATATTCGTTTCTGATCATATGATGTTACTAGAGGAGCAAAGCAGGCTCCAAGGTGTAGTTTCCTGCCTGTTCTCAAGGAAGCTGCAGCCCCCTTGGACCCACATAAGGCTGAGTATAGCATTCTACACTTTGCCCAATATACAGCCTCCATATTCATCCTGGCCTTGATTCAACAGGAGGCTGGGGTTTCATGAACTCAGCATAGAAATGATTTTTCACCCACATTACCCCAATCGCAGAAGGCTGATAGAGACGAAGGCTTCCAGGCTGTTCCCAAAGCCCTTAACTTGCTCTCTTTCACATCTGCAGTCGTGTCCTCCTCAGGGAGTTGTCCAATTCAATGTGATTTTAAACATCTGTCAGCTAAGTCAGAGCTCCAAATTTAGCACTCGGGAACATTATGTGGATGTGCGATGTTGGCTGGAGAACACTGCATCCACAAACTCAGCTCACAGGAGACAGCCGGGTGGTACTCCCGTTGGTAATTTTATCTATGACACGTTTAATTTGCCTGTACATTTATGACAATTATGTAAAAGGGAAATTGTGATCATTTCCTTACAAAAGGGTTTCTGCTGAGAACACTGCATTTCTCTCCGATCCTTTGCCTGTGTGGTTTTGTTTGTTTTTAATCCCCAGAGGCCAGTTTATCTGAGTTTCCTGAAATTCTGTTCTCCATCCCAAGACATCTTTCTGGTCTGGCAAAAGTGTATCCATCCTAAAGAAGAAGTTCTACAATGCATGGTTCTCCCTGGCCACCTTTGATGGGCATGGTAGCATGGCTCCCTTCTCTGCGCTGCAGGGATACCCCTGAAGAGCTGCACTGCAGCTCAGGAAGGTAGGTGACAAGCCCATGCCTTTGCAGAGGCAAATGACTGCTTGATGCTAAGCTCATTTGGGAGTGTGTAACTAATTCTATCAATTTCTGAAATCATGGCATCTGTAAAGATATTCCTGGGGAGAAATAGCCTTACAAAATAGTATGGCCATCAATAAGCGTTTTATCATAATAAGATGAACATGTATTTATTGCACTGAGACTCACACAATCTCTCCCAGCCTCCAAGTGCTCCACTAAATCCTAAGACTTAGTTACCACACGCTTTAAGCTATGGAAGCAATAGTGTGAGTCTCTGCTAATGCTACTGGGTTCTTGGAAGCAGCGACTGTGGTGTTTAATTGGTCCTGTGTAACCAGGATTAGCCTAGGCCCAGAATGAGGGGCTAATGAGACTGTAGGGACAGTAAATCAGTGCATGAGAGACAGGCATGAATTTGAACAGTCTCGAGGCAGGGGAAGGTGACATTGCTGCTGCTGGCCAGAGGAGATGCCCTACAAACTCACCCTGGCAAAATCGCACATGTATCACTCATACATGGACTGGAACAAGACTCAGCACAGGTTTTCCTTGCTTTTAGAGAAAAGATGAGATTCTCAGAGGAGTTATAAGCAATTAAGAGTTGGGCCACAAGGAAGGTGGCCACAGAACACTGAGCAGACAAGCTTTGTCTCAAAGCGTTTTCTTTCTGACAGTCTTGGTGTTTAACACACACTCTTGGGAGCCTGACGGTTCTTCCTTCTCCTCACTCCACTCCTATGGCAACACACTTACCTTGGGAGGATACTTTAGGGAATAGTTAAAACCAGAGACTGGAGCATCAGACAGATCAGAATTCAAGCCCCGGACCACTGAGGCAAATTATCCTGGGAAAATTAGCAAACATCTGAGCCAGCTCATTGCATATAGGGGATGCAACTCAAGTCAAAATAAAGTACCTGGCACATAGCGAATGTTCAGTGTGACCAAAGTTGTCATCGTTACTGTAATTAATTTGGGTTCGAATTTCGCAAGTAATAAAAATGAAACAGTGCTAGCTTAAGCAAAATAATAATAACATCAACACCAGTGTGCCTTACAGAAATCAAGAGGAGAAATGTGCACGGGCCTCAGGGACATCCTGTCACCATTGGATTCCATTGCTCATCTGCTCCACAGCTCTCCCTGAACGGAGTCTTTCCCTCATGCCCTAGGGCTGGGAAAAGTCATCTCCCACCTCCTAAACTGCCATCTTGCAGCTTTAACTCTCCCAAAACAGAGCAGCCAGAACCTTTTTCTTGTTCTTGACGTCAGAGACTCCAGTGCATTCACCCTGAATGTAAGCTGCATTCACCTGGCATGGTTAGAGGCAGGGGTCAAGTGACACTTGTGGTCCCCAGGGAGTAGCAGATATGGAGAGTCGCTGGATTTATGGGAAGGGAATTATGGCCAGATGTTACAAAAGGTACTTTCAAACTAGCATAATGGTGGAAGGGCAATATTTTTAAAAGTGAGAAGGTGTAAAAATGTCCTTAGTGAACAAAATTTCATGTATATCATGGTCATGAGCTACACTCATTTACGAAGGTAAAGATTTATAGGGAACACAGAGAAGTTGGTTTATGCTGTGGTGGTGATTTTTAAATGTTCTCTGATTTAATAACAAAACTCTGTTGAATGTGGAAAGCTCTTACAGGGATTAATAACCCTTGAGCTTTTGCCACCTAACACCTTAGCAAGGATTAGTTGACGGCTGGCTGAGAGCCAGGCCCCTAGGGGTCCAGTCTCAGGCCAGAAGCAGGAGGGAGGAGGCAGGAAAATGCCAAAAGTCCTGGAGGCCAAGCTCCTCATCCTCCACTGTGTGCAGGCACTGAGGCCCTCTCTTCATGGAAAGTCAGAAACTTGGCTCAGAATCCTAAAGCCTTCATCATATTTTCACAGGACAGACTAGTCTGTAAACTCCAGCCAGAGGCAGGACAGCTACTAGGAAACTCCCTGGATAGTTAAAAAAAAAAAAAAAGGCGAAAAGCCACCACGTGTTTTTTAGAACAAGACTCCAAAAGTCCTACAAACATCCTATAGACACGTTTCCATAGAAACAGATGATCCCACGCCCACTCCAGTGGCCTCTGAGCCCATTTGGCATTCTGTCCCCAGTTCCACCCCTGGGTGCAGTGACGATAACCCAGGAGAAGTCTTTCCATTTAGTCTTTGGCACCCTGCTTCTCCTAGCCTGAATGTCCGTGTGCTGCTTCTTTTAATGTTCCCCTCGGGGATTGGGTAGGACAGATGGTCACTGTCACGTTAAAGCCAAAGACTTATGAAGCAACTTTGTGAGCAGCGTGAGTACTTAACTCCTGCCCCAGAGGCAGACCCCTGAGACTCTTGCCTGAATGGGGATTGGAATCATTGTAACACACTGGGTAACCACATTCACTACCTCATCTTCAGGGGAGTGGTTTTGAAATTGCTCAAGCTGGCTGCCCTCAGACGTTGCCCAAATGTTCCCTTAGAACTGCTTTTATCTTCAGCAAAGCTACATATGGCCAAAGCTCCAGAAAAATTCACTGAAACCTAAGGACTTTGTGTGTTCAAGACCCAGACATCAAAAGAGTCGAAGTTCTGTTGTCGGGTCCATTCCTTCTGCTCTCATGACTGTCGCCTTAGTTGAAATCGTTAATATCACCAACTTACACAATTTGGCAGAGTTCATCTATAACCTGGCCCTCCAAGTCCTATAGAGAATAGACATACATATAATCTGTATAACACATGTACAAAATGCATTCATTAAGCTGCTGATTAAAACTTGCTATCTAAAATTAATGGCTTTAAACACATTTTTTTAATTATCTTACATTCCTGGGATATGGATCTTGCGGGCCCAAAGTCAAGGTGTTAGTAAGGATATGCACTTTCCGAGAGACTACAGATAATAATTAATTATCTCCCTTTTCCAATTGCCACAGGCTACCTGCATTCCTTGTCTTGTTGCCCCTTCTACCCTCAAAGCCAGCAGATGCAGGTGGAGTGAGTGTCTTGGTTTCTTTTCCTGTTCTTGCAATAAAATATTCTGATAAAAGGAACATAAGGAAGGAAGGGCTTGTTTAGCTCACAATTCCAGGTCACATCCCATCATTGCAGGGAAATCGCGGTGGCAGGAGCATTGAGCAGCTGGTCACAGAGGAGGGCAATGAGAGCTCCTATGCTGTCCCTGTACTGATGAGACGGTACCCCTAGTCCCTGTTGTGGATTATTAGTTTAACTATGTAAAGACGTTAATGCTTGGGAAATTACTTTTGTGTATAAGTGTGTTACATTTGTTTGTGCTGCATTTGTTTAATTATGTAAAGATGTGTTGTATTTGTTTCACCTTACCTGCCTAAGGCATGTGATTGATCTAATAAAAAGCTGAATGGCCAATAGCTAGGCAAGAGAAGCATAAGTGGGCCTGGTGGGTAGAGGGAATAAGTAGGGGGAGAAATCTAGATTCAAAAGAGAAGAAGAAATCAAGAAAACTAGGGAGGAAAGCAAGGGACATGCCTGGACCAGAAGCCAGGCAGTCACTACTCAGTCATGGAGAAGACAGGAAAGTATGACACACAGACAGACAGACGGGAGGAAGGAAGGAAGTATGGAAGGAGAGAGAGAGAGAGAGAGAGAGAGAGAGAGAGAGAGAGAGAGAGGGGGGAGAGAGGGAGGGAGGGAGGCTAAAAAAGTCCCTGAGGCAAAATTTAGGTAAAGAGAAACAGGATAATTTAAGTTATAAGAGCTAGAAAGAAATAAGAGCTAAGATAAGGCCAAGCATTCATAACTAATAGTAAGTCTCCATGTCATGATTTGGAAGCTTGTCGGTGGCCTAAAAGAAAAAGCCTGCTACAGGTCCCACTCACAGTGGGGAGGTCTTTTTAAATCAACTAACTTAACCAAGACAATTCTTCAGATGATTCTAGGCTGTGTCATTCTGATTACTAATGCTATCACAACTCCATCCCTTGTCAACTTGATGCCCAAAATATCACCTTTAAGCCACAATCTTTCACCCCTTGTCTCAAATGATTCATACTTGTCTCATAATGAAAATACACTCCAGTTTTAAAAGTCTTCATAGTCTTTAACAATTGCAATACTTTAGAAGTCCTAAATCTCTAAACTGTTGTGCACTTCCAGAATATAATGGCTCAGAGTTAATGCTCTTTTTCCAAAATGGAAGACTCGGAAAGAAATAATCACACCAAAACATAACCACAATCCAGAAAGGAAGACACCAAATGTTGAATCTCGGGTTTATAACGAAATCAACTGGTTTTCAAAGGTCTTGCACAGCCCTATCCCTTCATCTCACAGAGACTGTCTTCTGCGATGACACCAGTCCACATTACAACTCTGGCACTATCCCACAGTCCTGGTATCTCCAAAACCACGGCAACAGAGGCTTCGTCTTAGCTTTACACAGTAGCTTCTTAGGGCTACTCTGGGCACTCTCACGCTGACACACATCACCTGGTCTCAGCTACTGCGCATCTCTTAACGTTGCGCTGCCGATGCATTCAAAACAAAGAGGACGTTGAATGCACAATGATTCTAAGGTCTTCGTGCAGCTCAAGGTGTCCGTTGTTCCCTGTGGACCACTCTCAGAATCACTTCCTTTTCAGGACCAGGGAATCACTTCAGACTTTCTCCTTTTAAATGAGCTTTGATATTCACAAGATGGAACCTCTAGGGTGTGTTGTTTTTCCCTCAGGACACCTTCCCTGTTGCCCCATGCAGGAGGCTTTACCTCAGTGGTGCTAACTTCTTTAGTTATCACTGCTGCTTTCTCAGTACCCTCCTGAATGTTCCCCTGTCTTGAATTTCATCTCTGACAAATAGATTAGTCCATTACCTCTCAATCCAGTGCCATTCGGGTTCTCAGGACATGTACAGATGACCATCATATTCTTGGTCAGCATAGCACATGGATGATCCCATCACAATTCCTGAAAGAGTCTTTATTCGCCTCTGGAAACTTAAAAATGAAG